GGAATTTTTTGGTTTTTAGTACACTGTCAATCGTTTCACTGAGATTTGCTTTATAGTGATGATTGAGATAACTCAATTCCACTCGTTCAAATTAACTTGCGTGATTTCGATAGAGATTTACTTTTGAACAGCGCGGTAGCTAACGGTAATCTCACTGTTCGAAGTTGTTGGTAATCAGGAAAGCGAACAGTTACTTGTTTTATTTTTATTTGCTTCCATTCTCGTTACTAATATTATTCTTGTTTAACGAATGTTGCTACGATGAGTTCACTCGCTATAATGAGTTGGTGGATACCAATGTGTTCTCCAGAGAAATTTTTGGAAGACAACAGAAAATGTTCATAGTTGCAGGTAGAATTGCGGCATAATTTAACCTATATTTCCATCTCAATGCACTTTCATTTACTATATTTCATATAAAAACTGTCTCACAATCTATCTTATCAGTGAAGATGAAACCAATTAATTTCGAAAACTTTTTAGTCAACACTTTCTTGGGAATACACAATTCGGACAGCATTATTCGAGTACCATTCAGCGGAATCAACGGAATAAAATTTCTCACCAAATATTTCCAGCAATATAACGTTTCACATGATCTAACACCACCTTCCCAGTCGATCACTGTTCGTACCATTGCGTCCTCAAAAGTATCCCAATATTCCGGTATGAATCCTCTACCTTGCAAAAGCGCATGACGCCGTCCCAACGCCTCAAGTGATATTTTTGAACGATTCCGTGTGGGAAGATTCATAGACGGACAATTCCCGAGTCATATAGTAACACTCTTATCACATCATATGCCAGTCAGTTCATGTGACTTCCGTAAAAGAAGTCACATGAACTGACTGGCATATGATGTGAAGTGACTTCATGTTTTCGACTTCATGTAAAAGAAGTCCAAAACAATTACGATTAAGTTCAAACGTTTTTTAAAAATAAATTATGCTAAATGATGAGAAAAAATTGTTGTGAATTTCAGAGAGTTGTAGACCTGAAAATGTTGTCGCAGTTTTTCCGTATAGTTCAGGTTGTGAATTATGTATTCAAAAGTTTTCAAATAGACGACGGCGTGCTGTCGGAATCGAACATCGTATTTGAGACGACTGTTCGGTACTTTATGCAAGCCGAATATACTCTTCGCATCCGGCCTCGCCATCAGAACATTAAAAAACATTTTTATGCCAACGTGCTCACCAGACTGCAATCAAATTCTACTGCATCATCCATGTACATCCTATTGTTTGAGCGCTTTTCAAGCTCAACTTTACTTTCATTGTGTTGTAAACAAAATCCCAACATCCCGGGACAATCAACGTGATATGTGTAACATTAGATACACTAAGGCTTCTGATTTCTACTAGTGTTTTGATTGAGAATTGCCTATTTTTATCCAGTTAGTAGGAAACCTTATGTGCCAGAATCCTTTGCAAGGAATATCATCAGAGATTTAAGCCTCTAACGATTCATCAGTAATGGATTAATTGAGGTGGTGATAAAAATCCACAAAATATACCTTCGGTGCTCTTTTCCAACTGTTCTGGATGAGTATATTTTGCCGTTTTGTGAGCAATGTTTTCGATCGTTTCGCCTCGGGCGGGAGGCTTATTGTGGATGTTGCTCTGCCTGATGATGAGCAATTCACGATCGATACAACTGATAGCTGTTGATCTGATTCAGTGACTGAAGGCTCACTCGTTGACGAGGAATGCTCTGAGCCAAGGCTGTTCTCGACTGTCATTGATACTGATGCAATACCACTGTCGAGACTATTCCTTAGTGCAGTTGATGATCTTAAAATTCAGCGAACCTTCAACAGAACCCAAGATGGCTCGATCGAATTCGTCTAAAACTTGTACCAATCGTCTCATAATAGAAACAACGACTTAACTCACTATCAGATGACACAGAAGTGGAGATGTGTTTAGTGAATAATAGCTAATTCACGTGTTATCAATTGACTTTGGCTCTGGTCTATGATACAGAATTGAATTGATTTTACAAATAAAGATTTTTCTTCCGATGAACTATGACAAAATGTGACTTGAGTTTAATTTCATGATCAGAAACATGACTGTTCTTTTCCGCATCAAAATATCCCTGATTTCGATGAAATTTTTTCCCAAATTATGAGTTGTTGTAAACTAACGCGAGCGATTGACCAGTTCATTAGCATTGGTATTCATCACATAATATAGAGAAAACTAGGCCCTATCATTATAGTAAATGTCACGAATTGTGACGAATTATCATAAGTTTCGTAACAGAAATAATTTTTTCTCCGAAAATGATCTAATGAGAGGAAAGTCAAGCTCGAACACACTTGATTCTACTTTGGTAAACATTAATCATCAATATATTTATGCACAAGTCTTTAGAGAGTCTGCGAAATAAATTTGGTGCATCATTAAGCGAAGAGGTTGATGATGAAATATGGAGTCATTTACTTATGGACGAATATTGCAACATTATTTCATCTTGACATTACGTGTGAGTTGCACTTAAGATANACGCGATGATTTTGAATGAACATATTGCGCTCATACTGTTGAGTTAGGGAATTTGATTGATGAATAATTAATTGCTCAATCAATTAAGTTGAAGGCATAACCTACTTTTAGCTGGTGGTGAAACGTGATATCGCCTTTCAGCAAGCGGTAGTTGTGGAGTACTTTGTCGCATTCCCATTACGTGTGCAAACGAATTACCTTTCAGCGACAACACAAGAATGAGATGAAAATAAACTGCATTCAAAAATTCTCTACTCGATGGACTCAACAAACATTTACATCTGTCATTGACCAAAAGTTATGAAAAAGCGCAATTCTGACAGAAATCAAACCGATCACAGCGAACGATACAAGCGTAATGATACGGAAACATCGCAAGAATAACAGCAGTAATGTAAAAAAAAGCTCGAATTGTTAAGTTTGCAGAGTCGCGTCGATGTCAAAAACGGAAACGTTGTATGATTTGTTCTAGAACTAGCTCATCAGCTATATTACAGTTCATTATTTGCATGAGAGACACTCATTCGCCTAAGATTAACAATTCTGCTCATTTACTCACCTTCATAGGTGACTGATCACTTGAAATGATAACTTGATTGCTGACGTAGATGGCATAGGATATTACATTCTCATTTA